GTGGGCTTTGCTGTCACGGTTTACAGGTTATCAATTTCCGTGTGTGATACTTTTTAAACACCAGTTTTCCTGTGGAAACAAAATTCATGAAAATAACAATAGGAGAAAGCAGACTACAAATCAATAAGATCTATTTGAGTTTTCCTTTAGGTCAGCAGAACGAAATAAATACTTTAACAACAGACGATAATAAAAATCAATAAAATATGTTAGTTTCTGAGTCACCATCCTTATGCGTTCAAAGGAAAAATAGATAACAATCTGTACGGTGCTTTGTCAAAAGAGCCCTAATAAAAGATATGTCCTTATGTATTGGTAGTAAGTATCTTTAGAATATTCAAAGTATAAGAATGAATATTTAACGTTGGATTTTGAAATCAATTTAATCGGTGCAGGTGCAATAAATATAAAAAATATATATTTTAAATGAATCGAAATCCCATTTCACAAAATAATACTCCATTCACTCGGAATAACTTGGAAGCATATAAAATAAATAAATTTTATGGAAGCTTCAATGAACACGGGAAAATTAAAGAAAACCTACTTTCAAACAGATTCAACGTTACAACTTGGAGTTTGAATGTTTCACTCCGACGGCTATACACGATTATTGCATTTCACTAAATGTATGAATTTTATATGAAAATATTTGAATTTGAGTTCGTATTTCCTTTTTTTACAGTAAAAGTTATAAAGCATATGCACAGAAATGAAATGTTTTCTTTTTTATTGTATGTCATCAAACTGATAAATCGATATGCATGAAAGGAAGCAAATTTTATTCGAGAATGATATGACATTTGTGTTTATTTGAATTTTAAATTGGAACATAAAAGTATCTCTTAAGTCATATGCTTGAGTTCCACTAATGTGACGAAAGACAGTCATTATAAGTTTTCATTGTCACAACTGCTTCAGTCGTAAATTAGACAACACAGTTGCGCCTCTGCTGCAAAACCAATCTATGAATAGAGCTTGGTAATGCGATAATACTTACAACTTTATGCGATGATGTTGCAACATGTGGATTTAATGTTATAAAAAACGATAACAAAAATTGTGTGAGAGGTAGCTTAATTTTGCAACTGCCGATTAATTTCAAACTATTTAATGAAAAAATATTGCTCGGAAAGTTTCACGACTGTAGTATACACACGATTAGATTTTTTGACCACATCACCGTTATATCATTAGCATAGAAAAACACCCAAAAACCCTTTCCAATGACTTTTGATTCTCCGAGGAAAGTTTAAACTGGAAAACAACGTTTTTCGTGAATAAAATTATATCAGTCTGTATAGAAATGTTTATGTAAAATCGATTATATTGTTGAATGGCTTATCTCACTAGTGATTTTATGTGCATTAAATGTTTTAGTTTTTCCTTTATCTTACATGAGATTTAAATCGTGGCTTGAAAACTTTCAGTTGGTTTCGTCGAATAACCTTAAAATATGTCACCAAAACATTCTGTTTTCACACATACATACTTTTGGTATAAATATTATATCGATTCTAGACATGATACAAACTTTCGTCGCATTAGTAAGGATCAACAAAAGTTTTCACAGTTATTCGGTTCACCGAAACGTATGTGCACGAACGTATTCGTGAATATACGCATGTCGTAGATAATGATCTCATATGATGCCAAACCATGGCAAACGCAAATCTTTATCTATCGTCTAGTAGTACTATAGTCACGTTTGACTTTTGATGCCCCTTTAAAACTGAGTGAATGTTACCAAATACCAACACCCCAACACTGATTGTATGCATCATCTGTCCTCTGTGGATTTTCCAGACTTTTGATTTGATTGGCATGTATATCAAGCGGTACTTATCTTCAGCTAACGATAATCAAACGTTGAATGCATCATTTATATCTATATGTATTCAAGTTGATTTAAGTGATTGAACTTGTAGAAAGTTTCAGTGTGAAATGACAAATACATACTCTTTTTTTGCTGCAGACGTAACAAATGGATTTTCGAAGGGAATTGTTATTTCGATAACGTAAGTGTCATTCACTAAATGAGAAGTGATAAGTCATCGTCTGATTTTTTTCTGTCATAATTAAGCAGGATATTCCCGTCGAACGCAATGCGGTGAAACGTTGACTTACTTTACTTTATATAGACATTTGGTAAAGATAAAACATTTATTTCTTGACATCATCTCTGTGAATGATTAACTGTTTCACAACCCTACAGTTGTGGGCCACAGATATGAATGATACTTCTTTGGCTTGAAAAATATGTTAAATTCTTTACTCTGGTTCTGTTCCATATTACCTCATATTTTATGTGTGTCACACAAAAGCATTAATTTTAATATTGAGACTGTATTCACTGCACTGACACAACCGAGTTTAAGGCAAAATTAAGACGCATTTCCAGTTTTCATTCGATAATCTCAAACCAGCGCAGTTCCGACAAAGTTTAATCTGGAATTTGTGAATCTCATTCTTTTCTGAATGAAAATCACTCTGTATACGGCGCTTTGAGCGTATATGAAAAAAATGATTCTTTGAACGTGTTCAATTACAACTTGAAGGGAAGAAGTATCAATCGCTCAACATTTTGAATTCTGAATCTCGAAAACATGGCACATCATCCGATACATTAAAAATATGTTGTGTGTAATTTCAAATTTTAACCTAGGGGCTTTTATCTTCAAATGTATACGATTTATACTCTAAATAGTGAACTATATTGCAAAATCATCTGTAATACGCGCAAATAAATGTGCATAACTGCATATATTTGGTGTATATTTCGTGTATATTTCGTATATATTTCGTCTATGGCATGTTTTTTTGTTCTCTTTTGTGCGGATCTTCTTCGATTCTGTGTAGCAATACTGTGTGTGTGTGTACACTGAAGTTTGAAATACATCTTATTCACTGGTATAGGCGAGAAATTTTAATCGTATATATGATGAATAGGACGTGAATATTGTGTATAAATTTGTATGAACGAATGATGAAAGCCCCTAGATTTTAACTAAAATTATATAGAGATATGTTTAGTATTATTAGTTCAATTGCATTACAATTTTTTTCGTACATTCACCAGAATATATTTGTTATTTTGCAAAAAAATAAGCATCGTGGATCAAACCGCTGATAATATCCTCCAAAATCAGTTTGCTTCACAACGTGTAATATTAAATCTGGTAAGGAAGCGATAAAACCCAACAGTGTAGCCAGTCATTCACAATTCACATACCTATAAGAGTGTTGATTTTTACGATAACTTAATACGAACCAAATCAAATAATAAACCACATAAAATAAATATTTACGATGAACACACGTATGGTATTTCAAAATAGATCAACCAGGACATATTATGGGACAGTTAAAAAATCAAATGCATATGAAAAACTGAATATGAAAATTGGATTTTTTTTTATGGAAAAATGTTTGAATGAAAAATAAATATAAATTGCATATAGCAATCAACTCATGGTGCGTCTAATATTTCTAAACAACGGGGATCTTTGGAATACAAGAAAAAGAAAACAACGTTTAATTGTGAATACATAATGTATTCAATTTAGTAGTAAACAAAAACAAAAGGCATCAAAAAGATAAACAGACCTGAGAACGAATCCACAGGAAAATGCTGTTTCATCCTTACATTCGAAAGCAGAAAATTGCCTCAATCATAAAATTGGATTTATCTTCCAAATGTATGCATGTGTACACTGTACATGCTTTCATTTCTCTGCAACAGTGGAAAATAATATATACAGTATTCGTGGAACACGTTGCTAACGAGCTCCATTTTTTTCTCACATTATTTACGTTTAGGAATGTGAAGAAGCCAAAAAATTAGATAAAAAGAATACAAACACAGTAAATGTAGTCTGGCAAAACACATGAGTTGCATTTTGCATCCAAACAATACGATATTTTCAAGTGTTACAGTACTAATGTAGTCAATTATTTCTTGTTTAAAGTGGCATACAAAAAACAAAAACACCATGCATTATTTATGCACACATCGCACATGAATCGTTTGCAGCGGCAGTTATCACTACTCACAGAAGCGAAACGAATTTCACATTGCTTTGATTTTCCACTATTTCTACATATTTATCAGCCTATATCGTGTGTACATTTTTTCCTTCTAGTAAACTAGTGCACACGATGCTTTGCGATTCAACTGCTGACTACACATTTCTATAGTACTACATACATAGTGATCAGTTACTTATTGTCTTCCGATGGAAAATGATTTTTTTCGAATCACGTTTCTATTTTCTTTTTATCAATAACGAAACTATTTTCAAAATGACATGTTTATTTACAAACATTTATTATGAAACGGAAATTGAGAAAAAGTATATGGAAGATAATAGCTCAAATATTTCGGTGATTTTTTATCGTACACTGGAATTTAAACTATTCATAACTTTTCATGGTTTTGTATTTGTATTCGGGGTATTTAGTTATGATTTTTTATATCAAAATTATGCGCAAAATTCAGTGTATAAATTCAAAAATGAATACAAATTTTAAAAATCGACATCTATGTGTAAAATAAAAACGTGGAACGTATGAACCACCACAAAAACTGCCGTCAATTTGAAATGTATATTTTCGATGACTATTCACTTTTTACTTCATTATAAAAAAAGTGGACAATATTTGATTTCAATTCTTTGGTTGTTTTATTTGCCGTAACATGCGCATAATATAAAATCATACCGGATAGCAACGCATATTGAAAATAAATTAGATTGTTGTTAACATTGCCTGCGGTCATATATTTTGAGATGGTGAACATTTCGCTTGGTTTTCCACCTTGATTGATTATTATTTAAGGGGAAGTTTCTTTCTCTTTCCTCTTTTGATATCCTACACTTGTGTCAATTAATTGAAAATTTGTTCACTGAGGCGAACCTTTTATCTTTGTGCTTTTAAAGATCAAAGTTGGTCGAAAATTTCTTTCGATTTACACTGACGAATGGTTATTTTTCTCGTTTCAGATACCCTATGAACTTCTCACAAGTGAGCAGCTGAAAGGATCTATGAAAAGTCATGACACGAATAGATATTTAGATACGTGTAACCTATAGGAAAGTGAGAACAGTTCGACACCAGTTATATGTATGATTCAATGTGAAATTCATTTATTTGACCTAGACAAGAATGACGCCGTAGACGTAATAATCTTTTAGATGCAACATAAATAAAATGGAAAAATAAATCTTCTCGCTCTTGGTGCGATAATTAATTTTTCCATTTCGTTAGATAAAACAAAGATAAAAATTTGAAAGGCCTAACAAAGTTAGCATTCAACATCATCAAAGAAAACAAAACTAATAAAAGCAAATCGTTTGAAATGTGGAACGATACGGAAATAATAGCGGAATCGAGCATAAGCATAACAACTGCCACGACATTGGCAAATAATAATAATTCAGACCAAGATTTATGTCCTAGCCCCGAAAAAAATCGATATCCGTCAGTGATTGGGATCGATTTGGCCGTACCACAATGGCAAGCAGTTTTAATCACAATCACACTTTCATTCATCATCATTTTAACGATAATCGGAAATGTGTTGGTGATACTGAGCGTATTTACGTATAAACCATTACGAATTGTGCAGAATTTTTTCATTGTGTCACTGGCAGTGGCCGATTTAACGGTGGCTATATTAGTACTTCCGTTTAATGTGGCCAACATGATTGTCGGCCGTTGGATATTTGGAATCCATTTGTGTAAAATGTGGCTGACAAGCGATGTTCTATGTTGTACCAGTTCGATTTTGAATCTATGTGCAATCGCATTGGACCGATACTGGGCAATCACCGATCCAATAAATTATGCACAGAAACGAACTGTTGAACGCGTTTTGATGTTGATTGGTGGTGTTTGGATTTTATCATTGGTGATAAGTTCGCCACCGCTAATTGGATGGAATGATTGGCCTGAGGTATTCGATAGCACAAAACATCCATGTACATTAAATTCGAATCCCGGCTATCGAGTATATTCAGCATTGGGCTCATTTTTTATACCGCTTATAATAATGACAATTGTTTACATCGAAATTTACATAGCAACAAAGCGTCGTTTACGCGAACGAGCGCGGGCCTCACGTATAAATGCAATGAATTTAACTGCAGCAGTTGCAAGTGGCAAAGAACCAATACCGACAACACAACAAGATCAAGAATCAATTAGTAGCGAAACAAATCACAACGAACATCCGAATGTAACAAATCAAAAGGCACATGCCAAACACATGGAAAAACGACGAAAAAAACAGAAACACAACAAGGCCAACAAAGATTCTAACAAACAAGAACAAAAACATACCGAACATTTACTAAAACCGATCATGATAAATGATGATTCGGCGACTGATTTGCACGACCATTCAACCGAAAGCATGAAAATCAATGAAAACGATGATGGTGATGCAAACACAACAACACCGAACAAAGAACGTCATCATGCAAACCGAGCCGAAACAATGACCAAAAAAACAAACACCGTTTACCAATTCATTGAAGAGAAGCAAAAGATTTCATTGTCAAAGGAACGAAGGGCTGCCAGAACACTAGGCATTATTATGGGTGTATTCATTTTGTGCTGGGTACCGTTTTTTATTTTGTATATTGTTACACCGTTTTGCCCAAGTTGTTGCCCGTCAGACGAACTCATTGATCTGCTTACTTGGTTAGGTTATATGAACTCAGCATTAAACCCAATCATATACACTATTTTCAATTTAGATTATAGGCGCGCGTTTAAAAAGTTGTTAGGCATGAAACATTAAAATTATTTTGAAATCATCATTTATTTTCGGTGAATTTTTTTCAAATAGGAATATATGCACACATTTAAATATTGTTTAAATTTTGGGTACAACGATTTTCACCGGTGGTTGACCACATCCAACAAAATCTATTTGTTTTCTTATTTCGGTTGCAAATTTTTACCACGAATTTCAATACGATTTTTGTGTGTGCATGGTAAATTAAAAAAGAAAGAAAATTGTTCTGTGATTTGATTTTATAACGTACATGTATAATTGAATTAAAAAGTTGCCCTTATTTTATTGCAAATAATGATACAGTATGAAATGTCAGAGATTGGTTCTAATTTGTACACAAATCCATATGAAATGTGTACCGTCATTTCCCGAGTACACCGGCGGCGCTCTTTACAGAGCGTGTGCGCTCTTATTGACGCTCTTCTGAATATCTTTTTATTCATCTTCTTTACAATATAAGCAGCAACGAAGAAGAGCTGTATCATACACAGCAACGAACACAGTACATACGAAATATATACAAGAACTAATGCAATGGTTACTAGATTTGTTTGTTGCTGTGTATGATATAGCTCTTCTTCGTCGCTGCTTATAATGTAAAGAAGATGAATAAAAAGAAATTCAGAAGAGCGTCAGTAAGAGCGCACACGCTCTGTAAAGAGCGTCGCCGGTATACTCGGGTTGCAATGGAAAAATTCCTGTGTCATTTTTTGTTCAAATTTATCTAAACAGTATAGCCAGCAAATTGTTAAAAACATATAAGACTATAAAATACAAAAAAAAACTATGTCCACTCTTAATTAAATAGATATAAAAAGAATGTTGTTGTAGGAACATATATATAGAAGAATCAATTTTATCTATTTACAGTTTTTGAATATAAAAATTATTAGATACACTTCAAGTTGAAGTCTTCAACGCCAAATTTTGAATATAACAAAATGTTGTTAAAAAAATATCCTTAAATTCAATGTTTCCGCAATGTGACTGTCTCCCAGATTTGGTGTTGACGGCTAATAATCATTTACTTATAGTAGTGTTAATAAAATATAACTTATCGCACCAGCAAAATGCTAAAACTGAGAGCCGGGCCATTTGTCTCTTTTTAAAGTTGATAGGAGTTTAGCTAACTATCTGACAACTGTAAGAAAATCTGTCACATTGAAAACACGGGCTTATGATACAGAAAATCCACAATTTATTTTATGACAGAATTGCGGGACATTGTAAAGTTGTTGTATTTACTATAAAATATGTATGAAATAGTACTAAGGATATAAGGAAGATGTCACTCATAGACAGTTTACTGTAAACTACTATTACCAATAGCAAACTGGTATCATCAAATTTTGAGTTTACAAACTTTCTGTTTTGAAGTACAAACTCAACTTTGATGATCAACCATTAAAATACATTGTAAGCGGCATTTTCATCATTTCATTATTGCTCAATTACAATGTCATTAACACCAAACTACCAAAATACTTGTTGCTAGTTTTTATTAATAGTCTTACTATTAAATAGTAATGAATATGGATTGTAATCATTTGCAACATTCGACATCTTTGGTCTTCGCGTTGTAGTCTTCTTTCTTTTTTTGCTTCATTTGCTTTTAAAGGGAGAAATTCATCGTTTAAAATTAATTGATCCTCAGATGTGAAATAATTGAGGCTGCTTAATTTGGCATCGCACGAGATTCTCGCAATATTAAACTCCCATTTTTTTCTCAATAAAGATGGGTAATTTTCAATATTTGTTCATGACATTCATTATAACCAAAATATGACAACCCATATAATTCATTTGCGGAGTAATTTTGACGGTGGCGGGACTGTGTGGAGTTTGGCGGAGATGACATACAAACTCTGTGTGTACGAGGGTAACAGCACTTCTATGTGTATCATTCTTACGCAGATTATTAGTAACTTAGCTGTGTGTACGGCTACTAAGATGTACGATTGGACAAAATAAATCTATGAACAGCAAAGAACGCTGTTGCACTCGTACACACAGCATTTGCATGCTATCTCCGCTGAACTCCGCACAGTCCCGTCATCGATAAAATTACTCCGCAAATGAGTTATATGGGAACCGAAAATACAAAAAGGCATACTAAATTTCCTAAAACATGAACAAATATTGAAAATAGCTTGGGTCTACTCATGGATCGCATTCAATTGTATGTAAGGTTTATATGCACCGGATCTGTGACGAAAACGGTCATGTACAATTTATATATAATATGTGCAACATACATGTTACATACAATGAATTGAACAATAAAGTTCATTAAGTTGAAAATTAGCAACATTGATAAATTGATTCGGGCTATAATCGCATTTGATACGATGACATTATGTTAACATTTAATAAAATGTTATGCACCCCATTTTATATGAACAACTTGCAATGAGCCTAGGTGTTCTGGAATGAGCGAAAGATTTGTATTCGATCAAAGTGAATTTATAATAACAAAAATCAATATTTCAATTTACATAGTCACATTTGGTAAATTGAATAAACTAATGAATACGATTTAATTGAATTTCAATCGATTTTATCGGCCACTATATTTTATATTGAAAATTCATAGTTGTGATAAATGAATGAGATAAATAAAGCCTAACCGTAAAAGCTGTCACAAATTAATAAATTACCGTTCACATTTTTTTTGTGCAATTCTGTTTGCTTCTACATCATGTTAGTTACAGTTAAATTACAACACTATACAATGTTCAAAAATATGTGTCATTCAACGAAATGGTACGTTATTCGCTAAGTTTCGAAACATCGTTTCAGTGATGTCAAATGTGTACTTTACATGTCGTACAGTGCAGACGGCAATATGTCATGTCACTGAATTTTTTCGCACATGTAGCAATAACTGATTTTGAGTGTCCGTAAGAATGATTTGATTTCTCTAGAAATTACCATACCTTAACTATGATCCACTCACAATATTATTTTTTAGCTACTGAATATTTCAAAAACGGTCTTTTCGATTCTCATAGCTTTTATTTAATTAAATTATTGTTTTCGATTATTACTTCTACTAATTGAAATCAACAAAAATACTCCAAAAAGTTGGTACGATTTACAAATTTGTCATTATTTCTAGTATTCTGATACTTGGACTTTGTGATGCCTATGCTATGTTCAATGTTCATATATACTTGCAACAAATGACTGGTGTTTTGGCATACAACTGGAAACGAATTTGCTAAGCGGATATTAAATAAATTTGATAGATCCACTTTTGAAAAATAAATCTCGTCCAAATGCACAACAGTGTTAAATGTTACTCAATGAATGTAGATAATGAATGTGTTTTAAATTAAAAACAAAGCGGATAGCAACATTATATGAATAAAAGATGTGTATGTTTCAGAGCCCAGACAATACCATCGCCGTTACGAAATTTCTAATAATGTTCTAAACCAAAGTTAATACGAAAATGGGTCCAGATAATTCATTGTGTGTATTTATTGTCAAAGTGATGTTCTTTTTGTAATTGAAGCATTAATCACTTTGTGAATTTTGAATTATCGGACAATATTTTCATGAGTGATGTGCAAATAAAATGCTTTGAAAATTGTCAATATTTGAATCATTCTCGAGCACTGAGAATTTCATGAGCATTATTAGAAATTTTTCCGCTGCCAAAAGTTAAAAATAGTGAAAACTCTTGCATAATATTAACAATCAACCCTTTAAAGTTATTTACTTCTAATTACATAGTACGAAAAACGTGCTCTTGCATATTATTTTTAGAACATGGCTAGAACGATCCTGAAATTATTAAAAAAAACTTCTCTCGAAAGTTTTTCGAAAAATATACACATGATAATTTCATTATCGCTCGATTTATTCCATTGCATACATTTAAATTCGGTTGTAGAAAATTGTATCGAAAAAAAGAACAAATACATTTAAACCAGTTGAAGAGTTTGGTTGTATTACATAAGTTAGGAAAATATTGTGTGATTTTTTGACTTTTTATTTATATGAAATCCGGAAAAGGTCATAAAAGTTGAAAATTTGGATGATTCGAGACTCTTTTCACATGTAAATAATAATCGAAACAATAGAAATCGCAAAATTAACAATATTTACAAAAAAATATATATATATTCAAAATCTAAATGTGAATTTGTCCGGTGTAAAATGAAATAAAGAAACTTAAATTACAAAAATACTGATTGACTGTATGCCATTGCAATTTTGTATGTTCACAAAAGTTCTTCACAACATGTTGCTGCACACATAGCAAAGGTAAATAGTTTTACATATACGGTAAGTGGTAAATTTAAATTATAAATTAAATCAATTTTTCTGCAATAATAGCTTTCTGTAACGTTTGAGTTAAATCGATTGAAGCGATCCAGTTCAGCTTATGTTAGGTTAATATTGAATACGACATCAAACTTTTAAATTCGTGTAATCACGTAAATTATTTACATTACAAGAGAGTTTCAAACAACTTTCGTATATATTCAATTTTTTCAACCTTTATATTTATGCAAAGCGAGAGTTCCTTATATCTCTGAATTTGTTGTATTTTTCCCGGATGGGTTGGGTACAGTCAATACTCAATACAGCTCTCTTTTGAAAGCAAATGTTGCTTCCATCAATATCAATTCTATGCCTTTGTTGGTTGTCTGAGAAACATTTTCACGACTATTGAAATGTTGAGTCACCGTGTAATATACTGTTGTATACACTATGTACCGTTATTTAAACTGAATATAATGTTATATATTTAGGGGAGGGCGAGATAAATCTTGTGACACGAAAATACGGCTGAACAATAACATAAAAATCGCTAACACAAAACGGAACTTCAATAATCATTTTTCGGACCTGTGATTAAATCAGCTTACTATTCACTCAAATCTTTTTTCATTTAAACATAGAACTATACAATAAAAAAATCGCGACATGTCTCAGTTTGCTTTAAATTCGCGTACAATATTATAAAAGAAGCTCATCGTGCAGTATTTTAAATTGGATTATATTGTAAAATTTTATTAAAAATATTATTGATTATTATTGCATAGTATTCATCTAAATCACCAGTATTTTAAATACCCAGATATTACTTCTGAGAGATTTCATAAACATTCAACGACAATATACATGTACAATATATGTACCAATATCATACTGTATTCAAATTGGTTAAGCGATGAAAAAATTCTGCATATTTATATCTATTTCCACATTGCAAGGTTGCGCTTAGTGATAAATGGGAAAAGTTTTACTAGCATCACATAGAATTACGTTTCATTTCATTTGACTTTTATATAAAAATTGTTTCGCGGTAAATTTACCACATATGGAATGTAAAATATGTTTTGTGTATGTTTTGAGTACAAACACAGCATTTCACCCTTATTCCGTTATATCATAATTCCCAGTGAAAGAGCTACCACCACAAAACTATTCTATTTGTATTTTTTTTT